ATCTGCACGTTACTATTATTATTTTTTTTAAAATCTGACGGTATTTTTTTTAATATTATTTTTAAAATCTGCACGGTATTTTTATTACTATTATTTTTAAAATCTGCACGGTATTTTTGGCTTCGCTTTCCTATCGAAAAATCCATGGTTTCTTCTTCCCTACCTTGTTGCCTCTTTTTTTTTCGTTTGTCGTTTTCTTAACACGAAATTCCCCTATCTCGACTCGAGCTGCCTTTCTTGCACATTCAGTGTATACCTCACACGGAAAAGAAAAAAAGAAAACAAAAGAGAAGGGTATACCTCACACTTCTTTACTACGCTATGGACGTGATTGCGGTCAGATTCATCCACGTTTGACATTAATTGCTGTCTGTTATAGATATAGGAAAGTGCTTGTGTGAGTATGACATCGCACTCACTGTCTTCAGTTCATGTCCAATTACTCAAGCGGGAGTCGTTTGCAGCTGGCCGGAGCGGGTTGCGCGGTAACGTCGATCCGTCGTCTTTTTTTTTCTTTTTTTTCCCCTTTTTTTGTTTTTTGTTGTTTGTTTTTTATTTGATCTACCAGTCTTTCGTTTAACAAAAAAAAAATGACTGAGAAATTGTGAAGCCGGCGCCACCGCTGACCAACTTGCAGAGACTTGACCAAACGTGCATGCGCACGCCTTTCGATCCCTCGCCTTTCGTTTCGATATGTGATAACAAAAATCTCGAAACATGAGAGAGAGATATCTCGTCTCGATCCCTCGTCTTTCGTTTTTTTTTTTTTTTTTTTTTCTTTCTTTCTTTTTTCGTAGAGAACAAATCTGCCTTTCGTCTCGATCCCTCGCCTTTCGTACAATACTATGTGATAACAACAATCTCGACACATGAGAGAGAGAGATCTCGTCTTTCCTTTTTTTTTTTTTGTTCTTTTGCGTAGAGAACGAAACTGCCTTTCGTCTCGATCCCTCGCCTTTCGTACAATATGTGATGACAACAATCTCGATACATGAGAGAGAGAGAGAGAGAGAGAGAGAGAGAGAGAGAGAGAGAGAGAGAGAGAGAGAGAGAGAGAGATCGTCTCGATCCCTCGTCTTTTGCTTAATTTATCCCTTTGGGCATTTAACTTTGACGTACCTGGCCTCAAGTTCGACGTTTTCTTGAACCTGAATCGTCAGGGCTTACCGGGTGTGAACCTGTTATAGAGATGGCGATGATTTCGGCTCAGAAAACGCCGAAATTGAGGCCAGGTACGTCAAAGTTAACTTCGACGTTCGTGGCCTCAATTTCGGCGTTTTCTTGAACCGAAATCGTCAGGGCTTACCGGGTTCACACCTGTGATAGAGATGACGACGATTTCGGTTCAGAAAACGCCGAAATTGAGGCCAGGTACGTCAACGTTAAATACCCAGAAAAAAGGTGTAATACTGAATATGTGATAACGACACAACAATCTCGAAACACGAGAGAGATCTGGTCTCGATCCCTCGTCTCTCTCTTTTTTTATTTTTTTTATTTTTTTATTTTTTTTATTTTCGTAGAGAACGAAACTGCAACTGGTTGTTGTGTTTGCAAAGCTTTTCTTCTTAGGGGATACACGTACACTGCCGTCTTTTTTCCCCTGAATAGAACGCGCGGTCATTGTAGTTGCATTTGGGCCAGGTCTCAGACTAGATGCAGCGATAGTGGCTGTAGGTTCTGATCGGGAACAACGGTAGGGCTATAGATTGCATGTGCCTGACCTGAGTTGTCGCCAGATTCATTGCGGAAGAGTTTTTTTTTTTTTTTTTAATTCTGATGTGTAGCGCATTTACATCCTCCCAAAACGAGGAAGGTGAGT